AATCAGTGTGGGCTCAAGACGGAAAAAACATAAAATTCTCGGGACGAGACGAGATCGAGTTTTACATATATATTTTCGTGTCAGGGTCGGGCGGCCAAAAACCCGGCCTCCCCCGCCCCGTGCCCATCTCTACTGCATCTTCACTCACTTTTCTAACTCTTTTTCTTGTTATTTTTCTAATATAGTTTTCATACTAATTATATCTAAACCATTCTTCATCGTGAAAAACAATTTCATTCCAGCATTTAATTTGTATAATTGATTAATATATTTTAAATTTATAAAACTAGATACTGGATTGAAAAAATGATTGGGTTTATTCTCAATATTTTTAAAATATATATATAATATTTATTAAATTAGATGATTAACGTGTTGAATATAAACTCTTGGACGAATCCTACAATAATATTAGTGGCATCTCTGACCTTAACTATCAAACAAACATTCATACTGAACATCTTGAAGAATGAGTTGTGTCTTAATCTGCATTCTGCATATTAATATTTTTAAATCATAGTTAAGTGTGAAAAGCGTTTAAGATTCAAATCTATATTTAGTTAATTACGAGGGTTGGCTACTTAGCTTAGTAAAAAATGTTTAACTAAACATGGATTCCTGTATCAGTTTTTTATTGGACTGATTATTTTACTTTGAGGTCCTTAAAGGTAGGGTCCCTATTGTGCTGCATGGTTCGGCCTATATGTACCCTTCTGGCTAATTTAGAGTTAGGAGGGAACCCCCTTAAGCCATTTAGAGTAGCTGTTTCTTGTGCTTTGAAGAGAGACGCTTCTTGGGAGAAACAATGGGTGTTTTCATGGTGATTATTGGGTTGTTTGTAGTGGTGTTCTGTGTATGCGCTGCCGTTTTGAGATGGAATGAGATGAGGTACAGGAAGAAAGGTCTACCCCCTGGTACAATGGGTTGGCCTGTCTTTGGGGAGACCACTGAGTTCCTCAAGCAAGGCCCTAACTTCATGAAAAACCAAAGAGCAAGGTGATGATCTTTAACCCTGTTTTTTTTTATTTGTCACTTAAAAACAGTAAAAATCATGGGGTTTTAATTGAGTTTTTTTTTTTGTTATAATTATTATACACAGGTATGGCAGTTTGTTCAAATCCCATATCCTAGGGTGTCCTACTGTTGTTTCCATGGATCCAGAGCTGAACAGATATATACTAATGAACGAAGCCAAGGGCCTTGTTCCAGGTTACCCACAGTCCATGCTTGATATCCTGGGGAAATGCAACATCGCCGCCGTCCATGGCGGCGCTCATAAGCAAATGAGAGGTGCCCTTCTTGCCCTCATTAGCCCCACTATGATCAGACAACAACTTTTACCCAAAATCGATGGATTCATGAGATTTTTCCTCAGTAATTGGGACAACGAAGTCATTAACATCCAAGACAAGACCAAAGAGGTTCGTTTGTGTCTCTGTGTCTGTGTTCATCACATTCAAAGATATTCCTCTGTTTCTAATATGCATCCTTTTTTTATATATAGATGGCCTTTTTATCATCACTCAAACAAATCGCCAGCGCTGAATCCAGTTCTGTAGCTCAAGAATTCATGCCTGAGTTCTTTAAACTCGTTTTAGGCACCTTATCGCTTCCTATCGATCTTCCCGGAACGAATTATCGTCGAGGATTGAAGGTATAATTTCACAAGCTTTTGTCTTTCATTTCGGTTCATGTTCTTACAGCCTTAACCATGATTTGCAGGCAAGAAAAAACATTTTGAAGATACTAGGACAACTGATAGAACAGAGAAGAGATGGTAAAGAATCATCCCACAGGGACATGCTAGGTTACTTGATGAGAAACGATGACAGTAATCGACATAAACTAAGCGATGACGAGATCATCGATCAAATCATTACAATCTTGTACTCTGGTTACGAAACTGTTTCCACGACATCAATGATGGCCGTCAAGTATCTCCATGATCATCCAGCTGTTCTTGAAGAGCTAAGAGTAAGTTCAAGTTTGAGCTGTTTTATATCATTGTTTCATTTGTTTCCTCTGGTTTTAATTTTTACTGTTTTATTTTCCCCAGAAAGAACATGTGGGAATCAGAGCAAGAAAAAAAGCTGATGAACAAATTGATTGGAATGACCTGAAATCAATGAGATTTACAAGAGCAGTAAGTAATTTATAACATTTTTTCTTCTTCTGAAGAACCCTTTTTTCTTTTCTAATAATTAATGACTGGTGTGCTGCTTTTGATGCAGGTGATTTTTGAGACTTCAAGATTAGCTACAATCGTTAATGGAGTTTTGAGGAAAACAACTCATGAAATGGAACTAAATGGTGAGCCATTAAAATATTAAAATAATTCTTTTTTATCCTTAAACTTTCTAAATTTCAACTTTATGGTCTCAAGAAGCTGAGTTTGCAGTTCACTGCACCTTTTACAACTTCTTTTTCTGAAACACTTTTGGAATGAAAAAATGTAAAAGAAAATGAGATCATGTTGCATTGGTGGATCTTGTTTTCTCTATGATTTTTGAAAAGAAAGGAAACCTTTTTTTCCCAGAAAAAAGAAAACTTTTACAACTCTTTTGCCAAATGATTGAATTTTCACCAGACTAATATTTTCTTCTTCCAGGATTTGTAATTCCTAAAGGGTGGAGAATTTATGTTTATACAAGGGAAGTAAACTATGATCCTTACCTATACCCAGATCCATTAGCTTTCAATCCATGGAGATGGATGGTTAGTAAAACCCTAATCTTTTCCTGCAATTCTTTTGAACCAATGAATGAAACCCAATGCTTAAATTTAAAAGGATTGATGGATACAGGACAAGGGCTTGGAATCTCAAAGCTATTTCTTGGTATTTGGAGGAGGCACCAGGCAATGTCCAGGGAAGGAGCTTGGGATTGCAGAAATTTCTACTTTCCTTCACTATTTTGTAACTAGATACAGGTGTTTTAATCATCTAAAAGTATATTATTCTGAAAAACAACATTAGAAGAGGAAAGAAAATTGATTATGAATCTGGTTTTTTTGGGTGCAGATGGGAAGAAGTTGGGGGAGAAAAATTGATGAAATTTCCAAGAGTGGAAGCACCAAATGGACTACACATTAGAGTTTCATCTAATTGACTGACAGACGCATGTACATAAGAGATATATATATAGAGTAATCAAAAAAAAAAACTAGGAGATTTTGTACAATTAGAACATGTTCTAACCAGACTAGGAAATGATTGATTTTTCCTGTCTTCAATGCAGGCTGTGAATTTCTCAACTGTGTTCCTCTGTTTCTTCTTTTGTCGGGATACAAGTATAACATGTTACAATCCAAGTGAGAATTCCTTACGCCTGCAAAATTTCAACCAAAACATAGAATTTATATGCATTATACCATATTGCTTTGGCGCCGAAATGGATATAAAATACCCAGAACATACACTAATATATCCATCACCTTCATAGAATGGCCCAGTTGTTGATGCGGTTAAGGACTTAGGGCAAACCCAATATCAGTCCACAAATGAATAAATAAAGCACCATGTTTTAGTAAAATGTTCATTTTCATCTTAATCTTTCAAAATACTAGCATGGATGATGATAGAGTCATTCAAAAAGTTTGCCATAGTGTTAAATTTCGTGCTTTACACAATTTTGATTCTTATACTTACATTGGTGGAGATGGATGGAGAAATTGGCCTTGATTATTTTTGTTATAAGATGTACTATAAAAACAACAAGTATAGACACAATAGTAAAAGAAAAGAAACACTAAGATTTTACGTTAGAAACCTTAAATAAGGAGATCACATATAATACGGTAGAATTTTTATTCATGTCGAAAAAATAGGATACAAGGGGATTTTCAGAAATCAACTTATCTTCTAACTTTAACCCTAAATATCTATTTATAGAGATAAATATTTGATTACAAAGGAAAATTACATAGAATAAATCTTTTCAAACTAGACTCTTTACTATTAATCAACATTAATAGTAGAAGTATAGTCTAATTCAGATTCAAACGGAATTCAGGTCACAAAACTATTATAAAACTCTAATAATCTCCGCCTTAATGCGAATTATGAAAGTGTAATGAGTCTGAGATAAAAAAAAATCTTAATATTGATTGTGTCAATACTTTTGACTTTAAAAAACATCACTTGTAGACATTATTATACATGTCACAAACCATTCTCGATTAAGATTCATTTGAAAAGTGATATCATAGTTAAGAATTCACTCCTCGCTTGCTATAGAGTCTTCACCGAAAACAACTAGAAGTTCATTGTCATCTCAATCTTGTATTATGTCAACCTCTTTAAATTTCTCTGATATTTTCTCTTATGATCCATAATATTTATTTGATTTTTATTCTATAACTTGTAACACTCAACTTTAAAGTGTTATTTTTCTTGTAATAATAATATGTTTTCATGTGTTTCTAGATTTTAACCTAGTATTGGAGCCAATGTTAAAATCATTTTCTTGAGTCATTCCATGAACAATGAGACTCTTTCCCTTAGGGTCAGATCCATTCATAAGACGTTTTTGTCTTACGAAGTTAAAGAATCATAAACTTCATCAATTAAGAGAGATTCATGACTCTATAAAATTGTATCTCGACAGGTCGAATAAAAAAGAGACAACAAACAAAGCAAAATTAACTTTGAATCCTTGTTATCATACTTAACCTCCGTGAATTTCAAATGTGATACAACTTCTTGGTAGGTTTAGAGTAAAAGATGGAGGTTTTAGAAGAGAAAAACGAAGAAGAAGGGGAAATTATGAGAAAAGAAATTCATTCATAGATTTTTCATGAAGAGAACATTCTCAGATACACCAATTATAATTGTTTTCATGGGTACAAAATCTAAAAAAGATGCTGACAGTTGTTGTCCTTGCATAACAGATCCAACATCTCTATTCCTCATTGTTGGGCTTCAGTCAGGTGGCCCATTTAGTATTAAATCATGTAAAACTTCTTTCATTTTACACACGTGCTCTTTTGGATGAAAAAGAGTCCCCAATTTCTCAAATGAAATCCTTAACCCTTGTTTCACAATTTCCCCTCTTTTCTTGTCAAGTCTCCCTTCATCCTCTCTTTCCCGCCTCGTTTCCTCCTCTCCAATCGTGACAATACCCTCCCCTCGAAAAGATCATTGTCCCTAATGATCGAATGCAAGAAATTGAGATCTGAGGATAGTGAAATCCTCTCAAGTATCATGCGAAGCGTCCAGGTTTGTCCATCGCACAAGCAGTTGAGTCAACGGTCTATTTTGTCTGTTTACAATTATTTTCCCCATAATCATTAACGGTGCAATCTTGAAGTGACCATCGTCTTTCATTGTAAGAGGAGTTGAACATGGAATAATGGTCTCACCAATTTTTTTTAGCAAGCTAAAGTGGAAAACAGGGTAGAGCTTTGAGTCTTCTGGTAAGAGTAATCGATAAGCAACTTTCCCAATTATTTCAATTACCTTGTATGGTCCATAGTACTTTGTTGCTAATTTCAAGTTTTTTTGAAGTGTCAGGGATGACTGTCTGTGTGGTTGAAGCTTCAAGTAAACTTTATCTCCCACTGCAAATTCTCGTTCTGATCGGTGTTTATCATCTTGTTGATTCATTCAATGTTGTGCTTGCTCTAATTGTTCTTTAATAATATGCCTGAGTTCTTTATGTCCTTGTAGCATGTCACTGACACTTTGCACATAAAATCTAACTGCCAACTCATTGTAGGGGTTTATAACCATATAAAGACTAAAATGGGGTGAGCTTCAAGGCCAAATGATAAGTGGTGTTGTAACACCATTCGACGTGAGATAACCAATGAACCCACAGCTTAGGTTTTAAAAAACATAACCCTCATAAATATTGTTCTAGGCACTGGTTTACGCGTTTTGTTTGTCCATCCGTTTCAGGATGATACATCATGTTGTAAATTGTAGTAGTTCCCAATAATCTCATCATTTTCTTCCAAATATTGTTTGTAAATGTCTTATCTCGATCAGAAATTGCCAATTTAGATTCCCATACAGCATGTAGACCTGATCAACATATAACTTAGCCACTTTAGTTGTTGTGTAAGGATGAGACAACGATAAAAAATGCCCATATTTGATGAATTAGTCAACTATCACCAAAATATAGTTTTTCTTCAATGATGTAGGTAAACCTCTGACAAAGTCCATGGTAATGACTTCTCATGCCTAGCTAGAAATAGGAATAGGTTGTAAAAGGCCTGGTTTTGCCACATGCTCCACCTTTATGCGCTGTCATGTTGGGAAATATAACCGAGAACGAGTAATTTCCCTATAACCAAATTAGTGAGAATGCAAAATAAAAGCAAAAAAATAATACCCGAAATTGATAACGGAGTTCAGCCAATTGTGCTTACATCTTCGGACTGCTGTAGATCTTTTACTAAGAGAGAAAATTTACAGGTGTTTACAAAACACTCACTAGTCACAAGAAAGCTCTATAGTATTGGGAGAAAGAAATGATTTTTTTGGGATGATATTGAAGTTAAATGAGCTAGGGTATTTATAGTTGAAACTTAGGGACTAATCTTTGAAAAAACCCTAAAGTCTAGTGACTAAAAATAATTAACCCTATACTAATTTTCAACCAAAGTTAGGCAGCCCACCCTTTGAATTCCTTCAGCCGCCCATGTTGTTTACTTTCCAACTTTGAAAATCAAGCCAAACATTGTTGAAAATGCAGCCCCTCCTTTGTTGAAATTTCAGCCTCTTTCTTTGACTTTAACAATCTCCTACTTGAATACTGATTTTAATCTGTCTTCACACCTCGATCAATGCAGCATCATTTCTAGTCTTGTTATTCTAGAATGCCAACAGAAGCTGAACACAACTTCAGTTTGTCTGTGGTCACCGTCTTTGTCAACATGTCTGCCGGATTTTGAGCTCCACTGATCTTTTCAAGTTTCAAAATCCCATCTTCCAGAAGAGACCGGATAAAATGATATCGCAGTTGTATGTGCTTCATTCTGGAATGAAAAGACGGATTCTTTGCTAGATGGATAACACTTTGACTGTCGCAATACAAGACATTATTTTCTTGTTTCTTGCCTAACTCTTCCAAGAAACTTTGGAGCCATACCATCTCCTTGATGGCTTCCGTAACAGCGACATATTCTGCTTCAGTTGTGGATAGAGTAACTATCTTCTGTAGTTGAGAAACCCACCTCACTGCGGTTCCTCCTAGAGTATAGACATACCCTGTAGTGCTCCTTCTGATGTCAACATTTTCGGCTAAGTCAGCATCTACAAAGCCTGTCAGTATTATATCTCCACCTTTGAAACAAAGTGCTTTGTTTGTAGTACCCTGCAGATATCTGAGGATCCATTTGACTGCTTCCCAGTGTACTTTGTCCGGATTATTCATGTACCTGCTAACAGCTCCCACTGCTTGAGCAATATATGGTCTGGTACAAACCATGGCATACATCAGACTTCCAATTGCTGAGGCGTACGGCACCTTCACCATGTGTGCACGTTCTTCCTCCGTCTTTGGTGACTGTTATTTGGAGAGTCTGAAATGAACACCTAAAGGTGTACTTACTGGTTTAGCATCTTGCATGTTGAACCTGGAGAGTACTTTGTTGATGTACTCAGCCTGTGATAATATCAAAGTCCCCGACTTTGTGTCTCTCTTGATCCTCATCCAAAGAATCTGCTTTGCAGTGCCCAGATCCTTCATAGCAAACTGCTTCGACAATTTTTGCTTCAAGTTTATAATCTCTTGTATGTCTAAGCCTGCAACGAGCATGTCATCAACGTACAATAATAAAATAATGAAGCTGTTGTCGAACCTCTTGATGTAGCAACAATGATCTGCTTGGCATCTGGTAAAACCACTACTACTCATGAAGCTATCGAACTTCTTGTACCACTGTCTAGGAGCTTGTTTTAAACCATACAAGCTCTTCTTCAACCTGTATACCAGGTTTTTCCTGCCTGCTTCTATGAAGCCTTCTGGTTGCCTCATATAGATTTCTTCCTCCAAATCACCATGAAGGAAAGTTGTCTTTACATCTAACTGCTCAAGATGTAAATTCTCTGCAGCTACAATTTTCAACACCAATCTGATTGTGGACAGTTTTACGATTGGAGAGAAAATTTCATTGTAGTCAATACCTTCTTTTTGCTGAAAACCTTTGACAATCAATCTTGCTTTGTAGCGTTTGCTCCCATCATGCTCTTCTTTGATCCTATAAATCCACTTGTTATGGAGTGCTTTCTTGCCTGGTGGAAATTCAGCTAATTTCCACGTCTGATTTGACATAAGCGAGTCCATCTCATCTTTCATGGAAGACTCCCACTTGACTGAATCCTCCACTTGCATTGCTTCATCATAGCACTCTGGTTCACCATTGTCAGTCAGCAACAAGTAGTGCAAAGAAGGAGAATACCGCTGGGTTGGTTTAGGAATTCTGGAGGATCGCCTTAGTTCCGGTGTGCCTGGTTCTTCTTGAACTGCTTCAGGACTGATCTGAACATCATTTCCTGAAATCTCCTTAAAATCAGCAAATTCCTTTGTTTCAGCTTTAGTATTGGAGCTGCTTGATTCTACAGTTGACATGTCTTTGTACATCACATTCTCATTGAAAATGACATCTCTGCTTCTAATGATCTTCCGATTTTCATAGTCCCAAAACCGGTAACCGAACTCATCACCGATGTAACCAACAAAAGCACATTTGTTGGACTTAGCATCAAGTTTACTTCTTTCAGCAGAGTCTATGTGTACATAAGAAATACAACCAAACACTCTTAAGTGTGAAAGGTTTATTTCTTTCTTGCTCCAAACTTCCTCTGGTATTCTGCCATCCAAAGGAACTGAGGGCCCACGGTTGATCAGGTAAGCTGCAGTGTTGATAGCTTCAGCCCATAGAAATTTAGGCAATCCGACATGTATCCTCATGCTTCTGGCACGTTCATTCAGAGTTCTGTTCATGTGCTCTGCTACGCCATTCTGCTGCGGTGTTATGGGAACTATTGTCTCCATCTTGATCCCATTATTTGCGTAAAAATCTCTGAATCTACTGTCTCTGTACTCTCCTCCATTGTCAGACCTCAACCGCTTGACTTTCAAACCATTCTCGTTTTCCACCATGGCCTTCCATTTTCTGAAGGTATCAAAGACTTCTGATTTCTTCTTCAGAAAGTAAACCCACACCTTCCTTGTAGAATCATCGATGAAGGTGACATAATATAATGAGCCTGCAAGAGATGGAACTAGAGATGGTCCCCATACATCAGTATGAATCAACTCTAACCTTTCTACCTTGGGTGTCTTGCCAATCTTTGCAAAACTAACTTTCTTTTGTTTGCCAAAGATGCACTCCTCACATAGTCCGACATCTACATTCTTTAGATCCGACAGCTTCCCTTTTGACAAAAGTATCTTCATCCATTTTTCGCTCATATGGCCAAGCCTTTGGTGCCATAGGTTTGATTTTCCATCAGCATCTGCTGCAGCAATGATATTCTCTAAGTTTGAGGTTACATAGAGAGTACCAGTTTTCTTACCACGAGCAATGGTGAGTGCTCCTTTGGTAATCTTCCATTCATAGTCTGAAAAAGTTGTGCTATATCCTTTTCCATCAAGCTGTCCAACAGAAATCAAATTTCTTTTGAGACCAGGAATATGTCTCACACCTTTCAGCGTCTAGGTGGTCTGGTTTGGCAGATTTAGTCAGATGTCTCCTTTTCCGACGATCTTCAATGTTTCATCATCAGCAAGATGAACATTCCCAAAATCACCATTGACATAGTTCTCCATGATTTCTTGGCATGGGGTGGAGTGGAAAGATGCCTCTGAATCCAAGATCCATGATTCAATCGGACTGTTGACGCTTAGAATCACAGCATCACCTATCTCCTCTGTCACATTGGCAGAATCCTGTGCGCCGGTATTTTTCTTCAGTGCTCGGCAATCTCTTTTAAAGTGACCCTTCTCGCCGCAGTTATAACAGGTAAAATCTTTCTTTCCCGCTATTGATTTTCCCCTTCTGGATTTTGATCTGCCGTGATTTGAATTTCTTTCTGAAGTTCTCCCTCTAGACTCTGTGTGCAAGGCTGAGGAGGTTGATGCTTCACCCGATTCTCTTCGTCGATTTTCTTCACTCAATACCAGATCCTGAACATCGTCGAATTTTAATTTGCTATTTCCCGACGAGCTGCTGACTGCTATAACAGTAGCATTCCAACTGTCTGGCAGAGATGATAAGAGAATTAAAGCTCGAACTTCATCATTGAATTCAATTTCCACTGAACTCAACTGGGTTGTGATTGTGTTGAGTTCATTCAGGTGTTGTGCCACCGATGCCCCTTCCGTCATCCGCAAATTGAATAATCGCCTCATCAAATGAACTTTGTTTGAGGCTGAAGGCTTCTCATACATACTGGAGAGAGCCGCCATAAGACCCGCCGTGGTCTTTTCCTTTGCTATGTTGAAAGCAACATTGCGGGATAACGTCAGTCGGATAACTCCGAGGGCTTGTCTGTCAAGAAGAGCCTAGTCTTCATTCTTCATGCCCTCTGGTTGCTTTCTTGAGAGGGGTTGATATAGATTTTTCTGGTACAGAAAATCTTCGATCTGCATCTTCCAAAAGCCAAAGTTCGCACCATCGAACTTTTCAATTTTCACCTTCCCTTCGTCTATAACCATTGCTCCCACTCGAATCTGGCTTCTTCATATCGTTTTTGACAATTTGTGCGAACCACCTTGAATTATAACACCTCCGTCGACAAATTCGTATCGCCGACAAAATTTCACTATTCACGAAATTTACTATTCACGTGAATAGTAATGAATAGTAACCTCGCAAAAAATTGACAAAATTCATAACCAAAAGCTCCGATACCAGTTGTTGGGAAATATAACCGAGAACGAGTAATTTCCCTATAACCAGATTAGTGAGAATGCAAAATAAAAGCGGAAAAATAATACCCGAAAT